AGCGCAACAAAAGCGCATCGCACCCAGGGCTATTTGCCGAGCACGGTGTCGACGCGCGGGAGACTGCAGCCGCGGACCTCGGCCTGCTCTCGCACGCCGACCACCTCGTCGGCTCGTGGGGCTCGACGTTCACGATCCTCATCCAGTCGCTCATCGCGAACCGCTTCCTGCAGCGGGACGCGGCCACGCGCGGCGAGGCGCCAACCGTCGTGTACTGTGAGCTCGACGGGTGCCTACGCCCACTGCCGCTCATCGCCAACTGGCACATCTCGCTGCAGAACTATCCGCAGGTAGATCTGTGGGTATAAGCTAGTGCTTCGAGGGTGATGCCTGTGGAATTTTCCCCTTTAAATATATATTCGATCGAAAAAGAAACACGCTGCTCGGAGCGAGCCCGGAGTCAGGAGGCCACTCTCAGGCATCCCTCGCCTTCGTTCGCACGCGCATTGACCGCGCCCGTACTGCGTAGCACCTAGCAGCAGCATCACACTCTCCCTCGCCTCGGCCGCCTCCGAAACGCCGCGCCCGCGGCCGCTCCCCCACGCCCCAGCTCGTGCCCAGCTCTACGCCAAAAGCAAAAAATGCGAATGCTGTCTTGCAGTCTCTCGCCATCCCGCATCCGCCCTTTTGGGGGGTGGCCGCCAGTGGGGTACAGCACTTTGATCCCGGGCTGCCGCCGGAGGCCCAGGCGGAGCCAATATACGATCCGGCCTTCCAGACAGCAGCTGGGTCGAAGTGTTGCGCATTCGCGTGTGGCAACCAGACGAACTTCTCGCCACATGGTTCTGGTTGGCGACGGGCAGTGGCGTCTGGCTGCACCTCGGGCGCGCGGTCGTGGTCGACTACGCGTGCAGTCGTGTCGAATTTTGGCGGCTCGTGCACGAGCTGCGCCAAACGGGCAGATACGACACCGCCCAGCTGCCGACGACCGCCTTCATGCTGCCTACTTCCATGGTAAACTCTCGCTTCGAGATTGTGGACTTCTCTCTGCGTTCTTGCACATGGAGTGCGAGGTACTCGTTCTGTTGCCGTCCCAAACTGTCTCCCTCGCAAGGCGCGCGGGCGCAGAGCTTGCGGCCGGGCGGATGGCCAGGAGCCCCCGCCACCGCTCCCTCTTGTGAAAGAGGCGCTCGGACACACTTGAACGAAACGGATGCGCCTGCTCCTCTCCCCATCCCCCCGGGGGCCCTCTGCGCCGGGGAGGCGTTGTTGGAGGCTAGGACGCAAGCGTCTGTCGCCCTTTTTCAAACTCGGGGCCCGCTCCGCTACGCTCCGACCCGAATTTGGAGCGTAAAAGTTTTTGTTTCGCAAAAGGGAAAATTAGTAAATCCTGACGGCACCCTCGCTTTCGATACCGCGTGAGAGCGTTTAAAGCCTACTTGGTCTGAAGCTCCGGTTGTGATTTTTCTTTTTTTGAGTCTCACACGCGGGGGGCGATGTGTAATACATGGCGTCTCACGCCTCTGATTTACGTGTCACTGGCCGTCACTCTCGCCAATTTAGCCGCGTGCGCGGCGGCGAGACCCGGCGGGGAGCTCGCTGTCCACCTGCTCCCGGACAACGTAGAAGGCGACGGCCTGTGGATCGTCGGCTCCGCGTGGCCGATCGCGGCCCAGACGCCCGCAGAGGCTTTCCAGCTTCCCGCGGGGATCCACAAGTGGCAGGCAAAGAGCGGCTGCGTTTTCGACGATGCGCCCGAGGGCGGGCCCTTCACGCTGCTCATCGACAATTTCGGCGCGTGCGACGACTCGTCGCTCTACGAGCACCTTCGCGATAAGCTCGGACAGACGCAGGCAGGCTCACAGAGTCTCTCGCCGCCGGTGTGCAGAAGAGGTGAGGTGCGACTCGCCCCTCGCAGGTGGACGGATGGGGCGTGGTCCTCCCCAGTGACTCTAGCGACGCACACGCGCTCCACCTCGCAAATTTTGAGACTGGCGACTTACCGCCAGACTTCCCGGGCACGGTGATCTCCGTGTCAAAGACCCTCGGAGACAAGCTCAAGGTGGCGGGCCGCACTCCCCTCGCCTCTGGCGGGGCGCCTCTCCCACCCACCCACCCATCCCCGCGCCCACCCACCCACCCATCCCCGCCGCCGCCCATATGCGCCTCTCTCTCCGGACAAGGCCAAGCTCAACGTCACGAGGGTCACCCAGGAGGCGTGCGCGAGATATGGGAAGATATGGGGAGACATGGGTCACCCAGGAGGCGTGCGTGAGATATGGGAAGATATGGGGAGACATGGGTCACCCAGGAGGCGTGCGCACACGTCCGGGGCCCCGCCCTGTCGCCGACGGCCGAGCCCGTCCCCCTCCCCCTCCCCCTTAGGTTGCGCTCGACACACCGGTGCACGCGAGCACCGTGCAAGGCCACACCACGACCTTCCTCTACCGGCACGCGGGCGCGCGCGCAGAGACCGACCTTCCTCGCCCCCCCGACGAGCGCTCTCACGCATGCAACGTGACCCTCGTCTCCCAGCATAGCCACGCGCCCTGCATTGCGGGCAAGGGCTACGGTTGCGTCGACGCCACCAACGTGTGGGTGCGTAATTGCCGAGGTTTCTTTCAATGCGACGGCGGGAAGCTGCCGAGCCTAATTTTCGCGTGTGGCTTTCCTCCCGGCAAACCCACCTATCGATGCCGCTGCGATGGGCGGCAAGAGGAGGCGGGTGCGCTCCAGAGTACCCAGACGCCAACTGATGCAATTCCTTTGGGCTCGTTGCGTCATCCTTGCAGCCTGTCCCGGATGCTCGCCGTGGACCAGCTCACTTACGTGGACGCTCCTCTCGCCGAGATGCCACGCCGGCACTCCCTCAACTTGAGCAGGACATGCACCCTCCGACACAACTATGTGATTGGCGAGGGGTCGCCAAAGGCGGAGCAGCTGCGTCGCGTGCAGGAACGCTGGCTCGAGCGCCCACGGCGCTTAGGTCTACCTGAGGACCCAAACTGCACTTTCTCTCCTCTCTATGACCACACAAGTGCGGAGCTTCTACCACCCGGAGCACGTGTGCTTGTGCTGGGTAACTCGCACACGAATCAGCTGATTCAGTCGATGCTCTGCCGCTTCCACGCGGAGGTCCAGCACGTCGCTCTACGTCATCCCCAGTGCGACCCATGTCCGTTTCGTTACATGAATACTCAGCCCGCATTCGAGACGCGCAGCAACTGCACTATCAAAGTATCTTCGAACGCGTCGATAAGAAACACAAGGCCGACTGAACAGCTGCAGAGAATCCAGTTCCACAACGGCGCACAGCTGACCCTGCTATACTATAGCCCTCTCTTCTATATAGACAACGACAACATCCCCGGCACAATTCGGCGCCTGCTTGGCGTTCACACGCTGGCAGAATTTTCGGTGATTGTCTTCCATCACCTCAACGGGGACTGGTGGGCCCAGAAGTGGGCGGGCTACGATCATCAGTGTGGTTCCACAATCGCACGACGCTTAGGCGGTCCACCAAGTGCGCTGACATTCGCCGCACAGCTTCAGGCTTCAAGCTTTCGAGGCACTCTGCTCGTCGACACGGCAGGCTTGTCGGATCAATATCACGTCGCCAGTGCCGATATACTGTGCGCAGCGGGCGAGCACTTTTCTCGACTTGCACACATCAAGACGCAATGCTGGGACTTTTTGCGCCGATACATGGTCGACCACCGCACGAAGTGGGCGTGCGCGCTCGATGATGTTTATCACCAGTGCATCCCCGGGCCGATCGACGCAGTCACCGACATCTGGCTAGCCATTCTATGGCGGGTGGCCGAGAGCGACGATCATAGGTCAAAACGGAAGCCCAAGCGTGGCGACCGCGGGCGCTGATGCTGCGCCTCGACGCCGTCTACGCTTCGCGCTCTGCGGCGGCGCCCGACGGCTTCGAGGAGTGCATCAACTTTTGGTACCGCGAGTGCGGCTTGCCGGCCGAGCTTCGGAGCCAGCTGCACTCGCTGCGCATCTGGGCGAACGCGGCGCGGCACTACGACGCGGCGAGGTGGAGGAGGGACTGGCCGCGGAGCGAGGGGGAGAGGTCGCGGCTCGTGGCGGCGATGACGGAGGCGATCGGGGCGTTCGAGGGGTAATACTTGTGTACGAAGTACGTGACTCGTCGAGGACCACAGAGCTAGGAAAAACTCGTACCCACGTAACCAAGGAGCGCGTGCCAATGGCCGCCTCCGTGACACTCCCAGCTCCCACCGACTCTAGGGGGTAGACAGCGTCCTAATCTAAAATCTCAGGATTCAGGATTGAGGCATCGCTTCAGTGAGGCCAAAGTGAGTTTATGGATGTATGAGAACGGTACGGGACGCGAGGAGTCACGCGGACCGACTCGTCGGTGACTCTGCTGCACGCCGTTTCAGAATTTTTCTCAGCGTGAGCGAGACGTGGAAGAGTGCCACCGTCGGGTAGGACGGGTCGGCCCGGAGAATCAGAGTAGCCGTCGTGGTCGCGGCGAGCAGCGCCGGCCACTCCGGCGCCGCGTCGGCAACATGGGAGCATGTCCACCGCCACTTCGCGGTCGCAGCGCTGTTTGTCGCCCAAAACGCCGCTGATCCCTCTGGCGGGCCAAAGATCGACTCGCATGTCGATTTCGACGCGACGGGCGCATGGAGGCATCACGTCTCCATGCGCCCGTCAAGTCGGAACCAGTCTGCGGCGACCACAGCGCTCACCGCAGGGATCGGCGAGCTTTTCATAGTCAAGCGATTGCGCGAAATCCCACAGTGGTGGATTTTGGGGCGCTGTCCACCCCCTACGCGACTCCACCACCCCTGCGCGCCCTGGGCCGGCCCGGGAGTTTGAGCGAGTTTCCCCCGGCCGGCCATCTCCTCCAACACATTCAAGTTGCTTGAAGCAAAACAAAACCGGCGCGCCGCACTGCTCTGGCCCCTGCTCGCCCCTGCTCGCCCCTGCTCGCCACTGTCGCCTCGG